GCGACACGAAGGGGACTGACGCAACGCCCAGCCAGAACTATTTTGCGCTATTGCCCTTTGGGGTTTGCTTGTTCTTTTCGCTGGGGTAGACTTAGGATACATTTTACATTTTACCAGTTACTCAAAGTGAAGCAAACAATAAAACATACATTCTATAACTGGGCCTAACTCTAATCATGTTCACCAAAGGGGACAGACTCGCGAGGCAAGACCACGAGCCTCTACCAGCTGAAGCTGGGCGACGTGATCAAGACCGTGCCAACGATCGGCTTCAACGTCGAAGTTGTTCAGTACAAAAACGTCAAGTTTCAAGTTTGGGACGTGGGTGGCAGCTCAGCAGAATTTGAATTCACGTCGATGTCGATGTACGAGAGTTTCTGATCATTTTGTACTGCTTTCTGCTAATTTGCGGTGTCAATGTGGTCGTTCACGGTTTTGTTCACGGTTTTTGGCGGTCTTGAGCAGTGGCTTGTGGTGGTTCTAAATTTCAGAGAATTTGTGAAATGCCAGTCGTGTTTGCTAAGGCCAGGACAAAATTAGGAAGCTGTGGCAGCACTATCTCCACGGCACGGACGGGCTAATCTATGTGGTGGACAGCTTGGACCGAGACCGCATCCAGGATGCCAAGGAGGGTGTGTATACAAAAGGGGGATGTAGGGATAGATCCAAAATTGTCTTTGGTTCCTTTTGATTTTCCTAAACAAGGGCACAACCTACCTGGGTTACCTTTTGGTTTCCCTTTAAGCCAAGATGAAAAACGTACCAGCGAAAATACACAGAGGAGGAGCTGGAGAAAATTCTGGCCGAGAAAGAGATGAAGGATGCAGCGCTGCTGGTGCTTGCCAACAAGCAGGAGTGTGGATCAAAACGGACCGCAAAATTGTTTCTGTGTGTGTGTGGTGTGTGTGTGTGCTTGTTTGTTTTATGTTTCTGTTTGTGTTGGTGTTTGTGCTTGTGTTTGTGTTTGTGTTTCTGTTTGTGTTTGTTTGTTTGTGTGTTTGTGTTTTTGAGGCTGCCTTTTGCAGGTTGGTGCGGGAAACCAGCACGGAACCATCATTTTGGCTTTTGCTACTTCTTGGCTCACTTTCCCAGTTTCTGGACTTTGCACTTGCGGAAATATCATAGCGTTGGCCAAGAGTCTGTACTTGTTGTGACCTGTGACCAATCCAATCAAGGGAGAGAAGCCGTGTGGCCTTTGCCCAGTGTCCGGACTGGCCGTTTTTCAGCTCTGGGAACCTGTTTTGAGGTTTCGGAAGGATGGGTGGCCGATTCATGAGCAAAGCAGGACTTGCCGAACGCCGAACGCCATGACGGCAGCGGAGGTGGTTGACCAGCTGGGATTGCACAAGCTGCAACATCGCAAGTGGTACCTCAGGTCCTGCTGCGCACCCACAGGAGACGGTCTCTACGAGGGGCTGGATTGGCTGTCCTGCGAATTGGCTTTGCGCAAGTGAATGGTGCAGGCATGCGTTTCAGCATGAGGCGCAGTGCTTTGCACCACTTAGGCCAGATGTAAGATTTGTTCTGTGTATAGCTCACGGCAGTTTTGGGCCTATGCAGCCTTGCTGTTACAGCAAGGAGGGCCCCACAGCGATGGGAGTTCTTCCCCCCAAGCCTGACTGTACAGCTGCAGGCTTTGGAGATGCAGAGGATGAACTTGCTGTGCCGATGCCAAACCATGGGAATCCGTTGTCAGATTATCGGCAAGATAAGGGCAAACAACTTCTCCTGATCAAAGAGTGTTACTCCAATGCTCAACAAGTACAGTTGTGGGTAATTGAAACGCAGGATTAGTAGACCTGTCGTAGATGTTTTTTTGAGTAGAGAGTTTGCATGCCACTCATAAGGGAAGATGTTGCATACAATTGTAAGAGATATACTCCATTTTTTTCTCAAACGCTGACGCTTGAGAAGGTACTGGATTTGCTTGCTTTGCTTGCCTGACCTGTTTTTTTCCATCAGATGATTGTGAGAGTCTCGCAATCCCACATTTCCACTCCCTTAGAAATGCAATTGGAGGGTAACCGAGCTCCCCGATCGGCGGGGTTGCAACCTCCCCCTAAACAAGAGTGGCATATCTCTTCAAGCACGGCAGATTTGCATTTTGGGGCTTGGGTACCAAGCGATTGGTCTGCTTTTGCTTTTGGGCGGAGTAGATGGCACTAGTTTCAGTTTGGTGGCAACTGCTTCGGGACCCATCTAGTTCGTCAAAAGCACACCTGGCCCTGTGTGTCTCCAAGTTTGCTAGACCCCTGGTTACTTGAGCCACAATCAAAACCTGGGTAGAAGGTTAGTAAGGGACAATCCCAACCATAAAAGCTGCGGCCGCCTTCTTCATTCTTTACATGTTTCTGGGTCAACCATTTTAATACCGGGTTTTGATTGTGGCTCACTTGGTGAGGAGAAGCCACACGAGACTAGTGGCGGGTTTCCTTTTCGCGCAGGTGACACAAAAGATGCTGAGCCCGGAGTCCCAGCTTCGAAGCCCGGGTGACGGCTTTCAGCGATTAAAAGGCACAGCTTGGGCCTTTCTTTCGATAGATCCACTCATGAAAACAAATCAACCGGAAATGTGTCAAAGTGATTCGGACCCATGGCTTTGTGTTCCCTTCTTCCCTTTAAATCGACGTGAAAGGGTCCCCCCCCACGTATGCAAGAAGGCAAATAGAAACACATTTGCACATCCACAATCCACACATGGTCTTTTGTAGGCATGGCAAGCGCAACTGTGATCATGCCTTACTCCGAGCTCCTAGAGATGATCAAACCACAAGTTCCCTTTAGATTCATGTAATGTTGACCCCGGATGAATCGCCGTGCCCCGGGAAAATCAGCCCCCAACGTTACCAGAGAGCTGTGGTTTCTTCCATTTGCTGAAGGACCTGTCTAATTTTCTCTGGTTTCAACTGGGGAATCTATCATCACTGGACACATTTTTCATTGGCCCCCAGGAGCTCAGGACCTCAAACGAGGTCTTTGGGGGTTCAAGGCCCTCATTTGGGGTCCAAGGGGCTCCTGGGGCGAAAAAGCAAATGGCCATGGGTCAAAATCCCAATCGTACCCCCAGTGAACATCCCAATCCCCACTCAAATAGGTTCTAAAATGGGTGGCGAATTCACCGAAAACGCCCCAAAATGGGATCCCAAAACGGTTTTGACCACCACAGCCATTTCTGCTTGGGATGCTCAACCCTACGAAACCTTCCCTCTACCCAGGCTCTCCACGGCTGAAAAATGAGGTTTCCCGATTCCCTCGAGTCCCTCGATTGGAGAGGTCTTCACCGGCTTTGAGCTCCGCGAGCACCAGGCGTGGAAGGCAGCCTTTGGCAACTTGGAGGGGCTGGCGTGAACCAGAATGAGCAAGGTATCCTTTGTTGCATTGTGCTTGGATGTGCAGGATTATTTGCACAAGAAACGTGAACCAGAACATCCATTTGCTTAGGATCATTTATTTTGTTTATGTCCCCTTCTTTTTTTAAAGATGGAATCTATCGTGAAACATAATGAGTCCCGCCATGAACCATAAACCATGAACGCATTGGAGTAGGTATGGAACAGCATCCAAAGCTCCATGAAAAATGAGTCCCACCATGAACCATGAACCATTGGAGTAGGTATGGAACTGCATCGAAAACTCCATGAAATGAGTACCACTCAAAACCCTTTGGCGAATTGGAGGGTCAGGGACAATCCCAGCCATAAATGGGTGCGGCCGCCTTAGGAATTCTTATGAGCAAAATGAGTTGAACCGTCCAAAGGGCGAAAAGTGTTGTTTCCTGGAATCCAAGGGGGTGAGCCGCACTCCGCGCGCCAGCCGTGAGCGCCAGGTTCGACGAGCCAAGCGCTCGCTTCGGAGACGCAGGCCGGTTGAGTGCGCTGCTGCTGCTGCTGCTTCCTGGCAAACGCCAACCAACTTGCAACTTTTGGGGAATGCCAAGCTGAGGAGCTCTGCCCTTTCCCTTCAGAAGGGGTGCAAGTCCCACCAAGGTGTGGGCAGAGTCATGAACCAGGTGGACATGTGTATGTATAGAGCTAATTCTTGGTTTACGGGTGTGCAAATGTGAGTGAGTTGTTCAATGGTTGATTTGACCGGAATTGTTTGCTTCATAATTTCTGCAGGCAGGAGTGATTATCCTCACCTCCTCACACATGACATGGAACTGGGGAGGGATGGTCCTTAGAATTTCATTTTGTGGTTTGACTTGAACATGTCCCTTTCACTCAGGTCAATCAGCCCCTCTCTCAGAGGCACGTTGACCCTTGTAGCTGCTTGTAGCTTGGCGGTTCCCAGCCAAATTGTTCCTTAGACTTGGATTTGATTAGCGATAGAGGGATTCATGTTATGCTTCTAGGGGTATCTTCCCCATTCTTTCCAGGGATCCTTCTTTCTAGAAAACCACCAAAACCGCTGGGGAAATGGCTGGTTTCTGAAAAGAACGATTGAACATAATGTGGTTTCAACCCCTAGAATGCTTGTTTAAGATTTTCCAGTTTTGCAAATGAATAAACAGAGCCACTATAGAAGTCGTAGGTGTCTCCTTTGTCCTGGGTGCCTGGCGTCAGGCAAGCTTCTTGTGCAGGCTGTGATGCGAGAGGTTAGCCTTTGCGCACCGCCTGGCCCGTGGTTTCTTCTTCATTTTGTTCAATGTTGTGACATGCATCCCCAAACTGCTTGCAGCTCTGCCCTGCAGTTGAGAGTTCTCTTTCAACAGTGGCGCGTTTCCGCACAAGTTGCGATGGAGAGGAAGCAAAACAAGGTTACAGACCCCGCCGGGTCTGTACGTTCTGCGTTCCCGTCCGGCTAGGCGAGGATGAAGCTGACGAGGCTGGTGGGGTGCCGAAGCCCTCAAATATCGGCTCTCGCACTATCGCGTCAATTCGCATCCCTTGTTTGCGTGTGAACCGCAACGGGAGCTCGCCATCTTCGAATGACTGCGCAAGGTAGGTGCCCCGCAACACTTCGAGAGAGGCACATTCCTTCAATTAGCTTGTCTTCAAAGCAACTGGAGCCTCAAGGTTACCGTTCTATCGTGTGTTGGTCCCCTATCGATTTGTTGTGAAAAGTGGCAGCTGCTCATGTGTGGTCCCCATAGCTCATGGGTGGAGTGACAGGAGGACGAGGAGTATGAGGACGATTTTGAGGCGGATTCCGATGAGGACCGACTATCCACCAGAGGAATCGGCAGGATGACCTCTTTGGAGTTCCTCTTTCGAAGGTACCTTTTGGCGGGTTCTTAAGATAATTCTGATTCTAAAGCAACAGCACCAATCTGTTCCCCAAGAGGGTGGACCGAAGTGTTAACCAAAATAAGGTGAGTGGTTCAAACGTGTTCAAAGAAAGTGCTAGCCTAGCCCTGCCAGAGACTCATTCGAGCTGCGGGTATTGCGTCAAAATGATGGGAGGTTCTTGTGTGTCAAAGACAGTGGGCTGAAAGGCAGTGGGCTGAGGGGTGTGTTCTTACCAATTTTGGAAGTTTTCGCCAAATGGCCATATCGGGCGAAGGCAGGCATGGGGAATGGGGAACCCCCCCCCAACCGCCAGTCCCTGTTGGAGCAGGTGACCCAAGGTGCCGCCTTTTAAAGGGGATACCAAAATGGACCCGTGTTTTTTGACAGCCCCTGTTTGGGTTTTGCTCGACCGCTCGGCCGGACGGATGCTAAGCTACAAGCCCGCAAAGTTTGGGACCAAAATCATGCAGCCGCGCACGTCGCTCTTCCATGCAGACCCAGCTTGCGTGAAGACAGGGTATTGAACAGCTTTTTTGCCCAACAGGCGCAGGCAGTTTGTGGATTTGCAGGCACTTGCAGCGACTGAGGTTTTTTTGAGCGTAAGAAGAAGGGCACCGATTTTGTTCCCCAAGGAGCTTATGTTGCAGCCTTTAAACCAGCGACTCAGCACGCAGAACCGGCCGCCAGTTTTGTGCCTTCCGCTCCGCTCCGAAGCTCCACTCGGAGCTTTGGGCATTCTTCCGGAGCCATGGCTGGCCGGGGGGCCAAGAGACGTGGCTATCAGGCACCACCCGTATCTGTTGATGGTTTGGGGACGAGGTACCGCGTTTTATCGGGACCCTCTTTTGATCCGAGATGATCAGAGACCTCGTTTAGAGGTGGTTGGGATTTTAGGGATTCGCCTGTGTCCAAAACCGCCCAGCCAAGCTAGCAAGGGCACCCTTGTCTGCCAATACTGATGGGGGCAAGCATGTGGGCTGGTGAGACAAGAGGTCGGGTCACCCCAAGGGTTTGGTCACCAAGTAAGCGGCGTACAAAAGCTCCAGAGCCATTGGGTAGTTGTATACTGCTAGGTTGTCTCTATTAAGCAGTAGTTTCGGTAGAAACAAAAGTCCATGGAGGGACCGGGTCCCAACATGAACTTTTGTTTTCTCTTGAATTTCATGAAGGCAAGCCTGAAAAGGGCACGGGCACACCAAAGGAACTGGAGCAATCAGAATAACGTGTTGGCTTCGCAGCGCCTCGCTGCTATTAGATGGGTCGGATGGGCAGGTTTGAGAGCTAAAGAGGGCCACGGAGTTTCTTGTAGGGCCTCACGGCCTCAAACAAGATCAGATGTTGCTTGGTGGAGTTTGCCCAGGTATCTATATTGGAGTAGGTGAGCCAACCCTGAGTGTAAAGTCTTTTTGGGTCCCCAAAACGGAACGCGTGGTGTCTGTGGCAAGTTTGTTTCAACTGCCGAGGTGTAAACATGGAGGGGATGAGCGTGGAGGCCCGAAGCCCGGGGATGGCGAAAGCTTTGGATGGGTAGGGGCATTCCCTCACTTAGACAAACCCTTGTTGCTTTGGATTTGGAAATTTGAACCCCTGGATCTCGTGGAGTAAAAGGACGCCACCTTTCGGAACCCTGGGCTCCAAACCGCCCTTTTCGATGAGATGGAACCAAGCCACAGCTCCAAACCCCCGGGTTCCATCCGGCAAGCCACACACACCCGAACTCGGAGTTCCGGGTCTCGGGCGGCGTCTCAGGAGATGTTGGAAGTGCAGAGGGCCCTGGACGAGAAGCTGCGAGCCGTGGCCGGGAGCTCGGAAAGCCGACGCCGACGAAGCGAGCCGGGGCGAAACTCAGGTGCTCCTTTGGGGGTTGTAAGCCAGGTGTGACTCCAAGAATTTCTGAGTAAGTGTCTGGACTTCAAACCATTTTTTGAGACCATTTCAGTGGTGCGCGGGAAGTTCAGACTTTTGCTGGCGAATCTGCTCAGCAAGTGAGACTCACTGACAGGCTAAAGCTGCACAGCTCCTCATAGTTCCCCCACCTGAAGGGCAAGAGACGGACATTCACATGGCTTTGAAGGGGACATGACAGTTTGTTGCCCATACAAGTTAGTCTCTGTGCGCCGAAGTGAGCGGTGTCCGCGTGGTTCGCCCATGCAACAATCAGTACCGGGTATCCTCAAAATTAGACGCACCCACATGCCTGGCTTGTCTACCTGCTTCCGCACCTGCCGCGGCCAATTCAGCGTCATGGCTCAGGCTCCAAACGGGTTCTAAC